GGTGCTCAGCCAAGACATCTTTAGTTGATTTGAGTTGTTCCTAGAGGAATAAGAGATAGGGGTCTGAGCTTTGTCTGCCCTTGGCTTAGAATTCTAAAAAGGAAACAGGGAGCCCCATGGCCTGGATGGTGATGGTGGCTGGAATCATAAGGGGACCATCTCTGAAGGTATGACTTGAGGGTGGGCTACCACAGGATCAGACACTGCATGGGGACTTCCCTCTAAGTGGGAACCATGTGGCCTACCTCCACCATCTTGTTGGGGAGCCCACACCTCACAGTGTAACACTGAGGGCCTTGGCCAAGCAATGAGGAGGGGATTAGTGCCCTGGGGCCTTCATTCCAGGTCCTGGACCTGCCATCCCTAGAATCTGATTGCAGTCTGGCTCTGTGTGCTGTGTGTGTCTCTCTTCCAGGAGCCACATCCCACCCTCAGGAGCCAGAAGGAGGGGAGGAAATTTGTCAAAGTTCAACACACTTAGGAATGTTGACCAGGCAAGTCTCCCATTAGGGGAATAAATTTCTGTGTCTTAAAGAAAAGGCTTCAAATGCTATATCTGATTTTGAGGAGGCTCTGAGAAACATTCCTACCTAGCCAAGACACCCAGAATGTAGCTGGACCCGAATGAAATGTGGTCAGTGGGTCACAAGACAGATGACCGACCCATCTTTCTATCCTACGACAATCTCCCAAACCAGAGTCACCATCACAGCCACTGCCCAATTCCCTGCATTTGTGCAAAAGCCTCTACTAAAACCCTCATGCCTGCTAGCACCACCCACCCCAGCCGTCCCCAGAACACCATCCTCATGTGCCCAAACCACCAAAACCATCTGAGTTAACTCGAAGGCTGCAACGGTGTACTAGGTTACATGTGAGATATTCCAAGGTCCCCACACTGCAGTGGGGGAGAGAAGGGGGTAAAGCAAAAGTCTAAATGTGTGTGGAAGGACCACCATGAAAGAGCTCTCATGCAGTGGACACTGGTGTGCTCACACAGAGGAAAGTGAGCCGTGGGACTGGCCTGGGGGGCCACCAGGTCCTTCTGTTAGTAAGTCCACGTTACCTAATGGCACCTTGGGACTCTGAGCAATCGGGTGACACTGTTGGAGAAACCCAAAGAAAGGCCCTTAGGACCTTGTCATATTGTGGAAGAGATGGAGTGGACACCCACGTAGTTAACAGAGCCAAGGCAAGGACCACTGTGGGAGAGGGTTGGGGTGTTTGGAGGTAGTGGATAGAGACCGGTGAGGTTGGCTAGAGAAGCATTTCGAGAAATGTAGGCTCTTAAGCAACAATTTGAGGAAGAAGGAACATGACATGTTGGAGAGGGGAAGGCAACTTATAAAAAGCGGAAGCCAGCAGCTTTGTGGAAATCGCAGCAGTAACAGTATTTGTACCAGCGTGTACATTATCCACAAGCACTTTCATCTCACATTGTCTCAGCTCATCCTCCCAACAGGCCTGTGAGGGGAGCATCCTTGTCATCACATCCAGGTGAGACAGGCCTTGAAGATAGATGGAACTTCTAGAGGAGGAGACATGGGGGAAGGGCCTCCAGGCAGAGGGAACTACATGAGCAAAGGCATAGAGATGGAGAAGGACTGACTGTGTGGATGGAGAGATTAGTGCAGGGTTTCCACATGCAGAGTGAAGTCTGAGAACTATTCCTCAGTTGATGGACCATTCATCATTTTTGGCCGTTATGAGTGATGCTGCTATGAACACTTGTGTACACATTGTGGTGTGAACATGTGTTTTCATTTCTCTTGGGTATACACCTAGGAGTGGAACCGCTGGATCACGTGCTAATTCTATGATTAACCATTTGAGGAACTGCTAGATGGTTTCCCAAGCAGCTGCACCATTTTACATTTTCTACGGGATTTCTTGCCCTCCAGCTTCTAACTGGATTTGACCAATGGGAGGCACATTACATTACAGACATCAGAGGGTAGAGCAGAGTGAGGATGAGGTATTTATTTTCTGCAGGATTGCCATGAACCAGCTGCATCTCACTACTGAAGGCCAGAGCTCTTGTCAATGATCCACCAAGAGTCACTGGTGGGTATCCACCAAACTAAGGGCTCCAGGCTCCTCTACTGATGTCTCTGTCCCTTGGCTTTTTTAAAAATTGTGGTAAAATATACACAATATAAAGCTTACCATTATAATCTTTTTTTTTTTTTTTTGGCCACACCGTGCAGCTTGCAGGATCTTAGTTCCCCGACCAGGGATCCAACCTGGGCCCCCTGCAGTGCAAGCAAAGAGTCCTAACCACTGGACCGCCAGGGAATTTCCCACATTTTAATCATTTTTAAGTGTACAGTTGAGTGGCATTAAGTGCGTTCACATTGTTGTGTAGCCATCACCCTCATCCATCTCCAGAGCTTTTCCATCTATCTGAACTGAAACTCCACACTGGTTAATCGATGCCCCTCTCCTCTCTCAGCCTTGAGTGGGCAGGGCTCCCCCGCGTGGCTACCCTGGAGCACTGCACCGTGCCTTGTGGTTCCACTAACTCCTGCCCACACACCTTTGTAAGTCTCTCTTAAACTATCTTCAATTTACTCAACTTGAGTGAACCATTTATCTCCCGCCACACCTGGTACAACAATTCTCTGAGGCAGTGCCTACAATTATCATCACCATTGTACAAATGAGAAAACCAAGGCAGGGGGAGGCTGAATAACTTTCCCAAGGTCCTCACCTAGTAAGGGGAGAACTAGGATTTCGACTCAGCAATCTGGCTCCAGGACAGCTGAGATAAAAGCAAAGGCTACAGAATGTGACAACTGACAAACACTAGGATCCCGGGCAGGTGAAGAGTTCAAGCTGACCAGAGGCTGGAGCAGGGATGGGGGCGACTGGGAGGCTGGAGAGGCCTCCAGAGAGACTGTTTAGCACCTGGGCAGAGGGGAGCAGGAAAGATGAGCCCAGTCTGCATCATGCTGAGCCAGAATAGCGTATCCCGAGGGGAGACACCGCCGCTGCCAGTGGCTGCCCCGTCCCTCGCCGAGCTGACCCAGGCGGTCAGCTGAGACTCGCAGGAAGAGGCCGAGAGGACCTTGACTGGGGTTGAGCTCTGTGGGCCAGAGGTGAGGCTGCTCTGGGAATGAAGCTGTCCCAACCTGTCCCAGGCCGGGGCCCTGTGGCCCTGCTGAGTAGCCAGGCCTGGGTGTGACTAGCGTGACCAAGTGGATTTACTCCATTGTGAGAAGACTCCTGGAATTGCCTCCCAACATGACACTGCCTGATTGTGCTGGGATAACAGTAGAGGTCAGACAGCGCTGGAGAGGAGGGGGGCCGGACAGAGCTAAAGAGAAGGCTGGAGCGCGCTGGCAGCCCAGGACTGGAGGCAAAGGGGTGAGGGACATGCAGGCCCAAGATGTTCTCCCTGCTCAGCGGGCTGGCTTTGCTGGCTGTCTCCTTCCTGCTCCTGAAACTTGGCACCATCTACTGGGAAAGGAGCCACCTTCCTCCTGGTCCTTTCCCCTTCCCCATCCTTGGAAACCTATGGCAACTAAGCTTTCAGCTGCACCCAGAGACACTTCTCCAGGTAGGGAATCTGTCCTGAGTTGGAGGCCCTCCGGAGAGGTGGGCACACGGACCCTCCCTCTCAGCCCAGGGACACTAGAAGCAAGGAACTGGGCTCAGACACGCGTGGGGAGGTGAATCCTGCACCTGCCACTCACTTGCTCTATGACCTCAAGACTCAGTTTCCTCATCTGTCAAATGCAGGGTTGTTGGGGGATTGCAAACATTGAATGTAAAAACTTTGCACAGGGACATCCCTGGTGGTCCAGTGGCTAAGGCTCCATGCTCCCAGTGCAGATGGTGTGGGTTCCATCCCTGGTCAGGGAACTAGATCCCACATGCCGCAACTAAGAGTTCACGTGCCACAACTGAGACCTGGAGCAACTAAATAAATAAATAAATAAATATTTAAAAGAAAAGAAAAAAAAAACTTTGCACAGAGGTCACCCAAGAGGATTCTGTGGCAGAGCTCCACTGCCAATGTAATGAGGTGGAGAAAACTCTTTAACAGGACTCTGCTCCAGGAGAGCAGTGTTTGTGGCTGGAAGGAATTTTCTGAAAAGCCACTTGGGATGGAAACTGGGGAGAATGGGACCCCCGAGGGCACACTCAGGTAGCACTGCTACACCAAGCCCCCTTCTAGGGTGGGTGGATCCCACCAGTGGGAGGGTTTTGTTGCCCTGAGTGGGGGGTTTGAAATCCAGGCCAGAGCTGACTTATTGCTGAGAATTGGAGGAGACAATTCCCCTCCCCATGACAATGCTCAGTTCTCATCAATGTTGACTAAGTATTTTATAAAATTCTGGTTGAAGATTCTAGATGACCATGATCCCCAGGCTCCTCATGTAGTAGGAAAAGCACTGCACTGAGAGTCGGGAGACCTGGGTATGAAGCCCTGGTCTTTTGCTTTCTTTTTTGGCCTCCATTTTCTTTCTTTGTTTCTTTTTCTTTTTTTGGCCACACCGTGAAGCCTATGGGATCTTCATTCCCCGACCAGGGATTGAACCCACGCCCCTGGCAGTGAGAGCGTCAAGTCCTAACCACTGGACCGCCAGGGAATTCCCTGGCCTCCATTTTCATGAACTAGAGATTATGATACCTACCTCGCACACTTATACTGAAAGTGCACTCAGGTAATATACGTAAAGGCCACACTGGACCCTGAGCCCTGAAGAAGGTATAGTTATAATTGACTATCATCTGTAAAATGGGTAGAGCATACCCACCTCCCAGGATCCTTGGGGTCCAAACCAGATGCCGTATGTGTAAATGCTGGGCCCTGACTATTCTAGGTGCTCAGGGAGCCTGTGATATGACCCCAGCTGGCACTAGTGCTGGCTGTGGGAACCCAGGGTTTGGCTTGTCCGACAAACAGGGTGGGCGGGTGCTCTGAGAAGGTGCACCTGAGGTAAGTGTTGGGTGCGAGAAGGTGGAGATTCATGCCAAGGGGAAGGTGCCCGGGAATGGGGCCATCTGAGCTTTCTCTGCAGCCCTGGGACCCTGTCTCTCCGCAGCTGGCCCAGGCTCACGGCAACGTGTTCACCGTGTGGGTGGGCCCGACGCCCGTGGTGGTGCTGAGCGGCTTCTGGATGGTGAAGGAAGCCCTGGTCTCCAACTCGGAGCAGTTCTCAGGCCGGCCCCTCACCCCGCTCTTCCGGGACGTGTTTGGAGAACGAGGCAAGGCTGCCCTCTCTGCTGGGAACGGGGTGGCTGGATGGTGACTGCACTCAGGAGTCCCCTGGGGTGGCCCAGAACTGTTAACAGGGAGGAATCTGCCAGGAGGACTCGGGTCTCCTCAAACACCGCTGTGCAAGGGGAGGGGGCAGCATGGGAAGGAACCAGCTCTGGAGGGTCAAAAAGACCTGAGTCAAGTCTCAGCTGTGCCCCTGCCAGCTGTGTGACCGGGCGAGGCAGCCTCACTCTCCGTCCCTCAGTGTGCCCATCTGTTAGATGGGGATAGTGACTGCTCTCGCCTCCTCGGGATGTGGGGGAGATTAAGTGAGCCCCACAGCCAAGAGTGCCCAGGACAGCGCCTGGCTCAGCAAATGCCCTTCCCCCCACCTCCTCCCCTCCAGGCTCCGGCCTCCCTTCCCTTCTTTATCTCCTCCTCCATTTAAGAGTCCAGTGGGGACTCTTAAAGGCAAAATCAGATTGGCAGCTTGGGAGGAGGACATAGCTGAGCCCACCTTGATGGCACCAGGCCCACGGACCACATGACCGCCAAATGCCCCTCGGTCAGAGCACCAGCCCCGAGCTGATTGGGAAGGCTGCCCAGGGGTCTGCTCTCCCTGCCTGAGTGAGAGCCAGGTGGCCCTGGCCTGGGAGGCTGGGACGGGCTGCTGACTGTCCCTCAACCCGGACCCAGGGGTCATCTGCAGCAATGGGCACACGTGGAGGCAGCAGAGATGCTTCTGCCTGGCAACGCTTCAGGAGCTAGGCCTAGGCAAGCTGGCACTGGAGCTGCAGTTGCAGGGAGAGGCGGCAGAGCTGGCAGAGGCCTTCCACCAGGAGCAGGGTAAGGAGCGGCTGGGGCAGGACCACCCTAATCCCTCCACAACAAACATGCACACTCCTGCAAGGAGGCTGAGCCCTCGGGTGTGTGTGTTTGTGTGTGTGTGTGTGTGTGTGTGTGTGTATGTATAAAGGGGTGGACCCTTTGCGGGTCCAGTAGGGGATTTGTGCTACATCAATAAATCAGGAGTTTCTGTAAGGTGGGCAAGTGGGCAGACAGAGGCCCAGGAACGTCCAGTCCATTGAGAAGCCTGAAGCCCTTCTCTACAGGTGGGGAAATGTCCTCCCTCAACATCTCGGGCCTTTTACACCACAGACCCTTTGCACATGCTGTTCCCCCTCTGGAATGTCCTAATCCACTCCTCTTCCCTCCCTGTGAGAAACCACTGCTCCTTTCAGACCTGGCTGACATCACCTGCCTAAGAAGCCCTCCCCAAATCCCAGGCACAGATGGTCCCTGCATCCTTTGTTCCCAGCTGGAACATACCTGTCCCACGTTCTAGTGTGTTTAAATGGGTCTATGTCCCACACCTCTCCCTGCAAACCCAGCGCCTGTCACCAAGCCTGGCTCATAGAAGTTGCTCCGTAAGCATTTGCTGAGTGAATGACTGAAGACTGGGAATGAATGAGTGATGCAATGAGTGACCTTATACAGACTGGCTGAACACTCAGGGCAGTGCTCTTTTCGCCTCCTCGCCCTGAGCCCTGCCCCTCTGCTCTCAGGTAGACCCTTCGACCCTCGGGTACACATTGTCACGTCCACGGCCAGAGTCATTGGGGCCCTTGTGTTTGGCCACCACTTCCTCTTGGAGGATCCCTTCTTCCGGGAACTGATTCAAGCCATCGACTTTGGCCTGGCCTTTGTCAGCACCATTTGGCGCAGGGTAAGCTGGCCCTTGGGGAGGCAGGTGTGCCGACCATTGGACAGCTGGGGGCCCAGGGCAGGCAGGGACCTCAGCCAGGGCATAGCAGGGAGGGTGTCAGGCAGGCAGGAGGAAGGCCATGGGGCCTGATTCTGGGTTCCTCAGACAGCCTCTGCTCAGCAAAATGACGATTCACAGCATCAAAGTTCCTTTATTGTGGTTGAGCATGGAAGTGTGGGCAGGGAGTAAGAGACAGGTTAGACCCCCTTAAATACAGCTGTCTGGGCCTGCAACATCCTAGCTGAGCCCTGGGTCCAGTCTCTGCTACTACTGCCTTCATTACTGTCTAGATTACTTTGGGAGTGTGGAGAGTTTCCAGATGACGAGCGGTCCTGGGATGCCCATGTCAGAGGTTCCAGACCACTTTGGTGCCCCCAGCACCATTCTGAGCTGCCCTGGCTCAGGGTCAGCACCTGAGCAGCCCCTGGGCAGGCCTCTTCCCCCACAGCTGTATGATCTGTTCCCCTGGGCCTTCCGCCACCTCCCAGGCCCCCACCAGGAGATGTTTAGGTACCAGAAGGCTGTGCGAGGCTATATCTGCCGGGAGATCAGCAGACACAAACTCAGGACACCTGAGGCCCCCAAGGAGCTCATCAGTGCTACCTGGCCCAGATCACTAAGGTGGGCCTGAAACGGCTGCAGACGGAGGGAGGGAGGGACGGAGGGGGCTGTCTTCCCGGCTGCATCTCAGTTCAAGGCCACGGCCTCAGTTCCTCCTTCTGGCCTCAGTTTTTCAGAGCACGCTGAAGCAGCAGCCGTTTGGGTTTTTCCCTCCTTATCTTTTCCCAGGCCGGCGCTGGCTCCTGCAGACATGGGTAGGGTGGGAAGCAGGGGACCTGGCTGATGTCAGGGCAGTTTCCCCCTCAAAAGTCAGTGCAGTCCTGGGACTCAGGCCCTTCTGACCCCAGAGGAGCTCTGGTCCCACAAGTTTAGGGACAGGCCAGGCCTCAGTCAGGGAGATGCCAGGGCTCTGTGAGAGGAGAGCTTCAGACTCGGAGCTGCTCTCCCCACCACTCATCCCCCACCCACCAGGCCACGGACAACCCTGTCTCCACATTCAATGAAGAAAACCTGATCCAGGTAGTGGTCGACCTGTTTCTGGGAGGCACCAACACCATGGCCACTACCCTGTGCTGGGCACTCATCTGTGTGGTCCAGCATGGAGCCATCCAGGGTAAGGGGGCCGTGGTTACACCCTGCTGACTGCCCCATGCCCATTACCCCTGCTGTGGGCTTCTGGGCTGAAGGAACCTGTCCCCATCACTGTCTTTGGTCTGCGGCCCCAGGGATGGGTCCTGCTCTCACTGCTGTGGTGTAGGAGGTGTTCATGGCTTTGAATCAGATGGAGGGGCTGGGGGGTGGGGACTTCTAGTCCCACCCTGCTACTGACTGAGTGATCCTGGGTAAGTAATTCAACCACTTAGGAACAGTGTGAAATGAGGCAACATTATTTCACCCATTCAGTAATGATCCAGCACCTACTAAGTGCCAGGCCCTGTGTCAATGTCCACCAAGATCACAAACGAAGAAAAGGTGGCTAGAGTTCTCTCAGGGACAAACTGGCCATGACCTAAGTTCAGATCCTGGTTCCACTAGTTTTGTGGCCTTCAGAAAAGTACCTGTCCTGTCACAGCCTCAGTTTTCTTGTCTGTAAAGTGGAGACAACAGTTCGTACCCCATAGGACTCTTTGTATATAGAACACTTGGCACATAGTGGGTGCTGAAATCTGGGTCCTAGCCCTTCCCTCAAGTTCCCCTCGGAGGAGCAAATCCTGCAAAATCTTGTTCACAAGCTCTGCCTCAGAGAGGGACTGCCACTGTTGGGACCAGGGGTCGCTGAGTGGGGTAGGGCAACCTAGGGGCGATGAACCTTGGCGACTGTCTCTGGGTGGGGACGAGGACGGTGGGGCGTGGTGGGGAGGTCGGGCTGCAGCCCTTCCCGGGACCCACGCAGAGCCGCCTGCAGAGAGGGTGCAGCGGGAGCTGGATGCGGTGCTGGGCACCTCCCGGGCCATCCGCTACTAGGACCGCGAGCTACTGCCCTACACCCTCACCGTCCATGAGGTGCAGCACCTCAGCAGCGTCGTGACCGCAGATGCCGTGCGCCAGTGCGTGACCTCCACCCATGTGCATGGCCACCCCGTGCCCAAGGTAGGTGGCCCCAGTGTGACCTCATGCCCTATCCAGTGCCTGCAGAAAGCACCCTTCACTGGGCTGCCTGCCCAGCATAGCCACGTGCTACAGCTTCTGCCTGTCTGCCAACTCAGTCAATCATCCATCCATCCATCCATTCATCTCTATCTATGGCATTCCGGATGGAGAGTTATGATTGTGAAAGAATACACTCAGTTAGGGATATTTTTAAATGTTCTGTGTTGTTCAGAAGTAACCCCTGCAGACATTTTAATGCACCTCTTTCCAATCTTTTTTGTCCACATATATTTTACGTAGCTGTGATTATGCTGAATATATAACTATGAATCCTTCATTTCACTTAACATATCATTCTGATTCTTCTACATTACTGGTTCCCAAACTTCTAGGTACACCAGAATCACATGCAGGGCTTGCTAAAATGTACATTGCTGGGAGCCATTCCCAGAATATTGGGAGTGAGGCCTGAGAATCTGCCTTTCTAACAGGTTCCCAAGTGGTGTGGATGCTTTGGGTTCCGGGGCCACATTTTGAAAACCACTCTACCACATCACTCTAGATGGCTGCATAATGTTCCACCAAATGGATGTTTTGTAATTCTTAACCCTTATTGGTGAACTTTTAGCCTATTTGCAATTTATGTGCCTTAGACTTGGTCTGCATTTTGTGTTATATCCTTAGAACTGATTTCTAGTAGAAATGCCTGTCTCATTTCTTTCATTTTATAACTAGGTTAAGAGAACAAGTACTGAATAAGGAGAGATAGAGGAATAAAGTTAAATCAAACTGTTTAGGTCAAGAACAGCCACTGTATATGTACATAAAACTTGAGTCTGAGCTTCCCTGGATCCAGTCAAAAAAGGAAATCCCAATTAGGTATGACTCGCATTATGTCATAAAAGAAAGCATGCCTGAATCAGGAAAACTTTGGATTATCACCCTTCAAGAAGTTATTATGAAGATCATCAATCATAATACCTTTTTGAGGGCCAGTGGACGATGTATTGGGTGGTGCCTTCAGTAGGAGTTTAAAGATACAGAAATATTCTTTCATATGGTAGCTTCTTCTTATCTTCAACCCTTTTTTTTTTTTTTTTTTTTGCAGTACACAGGCCTCTCCCTGTTGTGGCCTCTCCCATTGCGGAGCACAGGCTCCGGACGCGCAGGCTCAGTGGCCTGCCGCTCCGCAGCACGTGGGATCTTCCTGGACCAGGGCACGAACCCGCGTTCCCTGCATCAGCAGGCGGACTCCCAACCACTGCGCCACCAGGGAAGCCCTCTTCAACCCATTTTAAACGATGAAAGTTTAACATGAACACATTTCTGCGTGGAGTTAAAAAACAGTTCAGGTTTGTAGCTCTCTGGTGATTCAGCTTGAAACAGGTTTCTGACATGAACTGGATCATAACATAATAATTCCTGCTCTTTGCCAAGCCTTACTGTGTGCTAAGGGCTTTGAGTCCTCTACAGCATTCAGTCCTCACAATGACTGACTGTCATGCAGATCCTAGATAAGAGATATTTATTGAATTAGTTGTCTATCTCTCTTGCTATGTAATAAATTACCCCCAAACTTAACACCTTACAAAAACAGCACTTCTGTGGGCTAGGGATCTAGGTTTCTGTGGGTCAGGGATCTAGGTGCAACTTAGCTGGATGCCTCTGATTCAAGGTCTCTCATGATGTTATGATGAAGTTGTTGGCTGGGGCTGCAGTCTTATCTGAAGGCTCCACGGGGAGGTTCCACTGTCAGAGCACTTGCATTGCTTTCTTCAGGATTCAGTTTCTCCTGGGCTGTTGGCTGGAGGCCACCCCTCAGTTCCTTAACATTGGGCCTCTACATAGGGCAGCTCAAACATAGCAGCTGACCTTCACTAGAGAGAGCAAGTGAGAAGACAGAAGCTACAGTCTTTTTGTATCCTAATCTCAGATGTGGTATCCCCTCACTTTTGCCATATTCTGTTTGCTAGAAGTGAGTCACTAGAGCCAGCCCACCCTCAAGGGGAGATGGTTTTACAGGGAGTGAATGCCAGGCATCATGAATCATTTTGGGAGTGCGGTGTCGTTTTAAAGGAAATGTAGCACAGGTGTGTAGGTGGCAAGGTTGCCATTTTAATGAAGATGAAACAGAGTCACTCATCTTGGTGCCTTATGCACAGAGGTGCGCTGTGTTAAGACTTTCCTCAGAAAGGGACTTTGGCTCAGCACTGATGCTCCAGCCCGTCCCTGGTGGAAGCCTCAATGGTACAAGGTGGGTACACCATGAAAACAATGGGGATAGAAGGTATGGGGGCCCAATTTTTTCCATCATGAGAATCTTTATTCAACTCTTACAACCATGGTTCAGGGCAGACTTGGCAGCAAGGGCCCTGCCAGGATGTGATTATTAAATTCTTATTAATTTGATCAGACTTGAGATTCCTGTCTCCATGCATTTTTTTCTTCATAATAACCCTGTCCTTTAGATGCTGTTGCTACTGTTAATCTTTTTTTTTTTTTTTTTTACAGATAGCTTAAGAGAGCTCAAGTAACTGCCCCAAACACACAGTAAGGTACTTAACTGAGTTTCGAATTCATGTCCCTCTGATTCCAAATTTTTTGCTCTACCATACTCCCTGCCGTTCATATTGCTCCAGAAATGCCTCTTTAGGAAGGTAAGTGAATCAGCATGTTGGAAGGAGGTGTTTTGCATTGTCTATTGGTCTGCCAGATTGGCTAATACTGAACAGTCCTTGGCAGTATTCGGCCATCAAGTTCAGAGGTTAGACAAATGTCTCCTTGATTGTGAGGATAGGACCATGTCATCAACTCATTTTGCTGTTATCCTGGTAGAAGCCCCCAGGCCCTGGTTGTCCAAGAGTTGTTCCAAATTAGGTCAAGTTAAAAAGGAGGGAACTAAGGTTCAGCTCTGCTTCATGTCGTTTGGGATTAGAAATTTCCTTATTAGTAGCCCATTCCTGCCAATCTGATTCTAGGAGGTGTTCTGTGATAAGAGCTCCAGGGAGCCATTAACAGCCTGGAATCAATACCGAGCTTTTCCAACTTGGGCGAGAGATGTCTCCTGAAAGTAGAATCAAAGCTTGACAGTACATCAATAAATGTTACAGATATTCCTAAACGGTTCTTAACCATTCCATCAGTCGAGTGACAGCGACAACAGCAATGGTCCCTAATACAGAGGGGGCACTTCGAGCCTGTCTCTCTTCAGACATTCTATTTGATTGTAAACTCCAAGCTGCCATTTACTGGGAAGAAGTTGGGATAGAATCCCCAGGAGGTATCCAGCAGGCAGATGGCTCTATAATTTGTAGGAAAAGGAGGGTTGCCCATGTTGTGTGCTGGGTAGGCTATGGTCTGAGCCTGTCCCACAAATTAATATAAGTTAATCACTTTGCAAGGAGTCCAGAACATTACCCAGAACAGGATATAACTAATTCTGGAGGGAAAAGAGCATCTTGCCAGGAGCCTCTGCATCTGAGGGTGATTATTAAGAACTGTTGTAATGCAGAGGTTACTTCATCCCTGGTAGTGAAAATGGAGGGAAATTCCCAGGACTATAACTAGGAAACAAACAGCTCACTCAGGCAGCAGCAAGAACACGTGCTTCCCAATCCCTCTGATTAAAGCCACGGAGTAAAGAGGTCTGGGTGCCTGTCAGTCTGGATGGCTAAGGTCAGGCCCCTCCCTTAAGGCTTCAGTAGAGCAACTAAAAAAAAAGAAGAAGAAGAAAAAAGAAAAGTGCCTTCTGAAAGTATTTACATTGTCTGAACTTCTGCATTCTTCACTGGCTTCTCTTTGGTGTGCAGGCTTCAAACTGCTGAGTTTTTAATTTCAAGATGCCTTTGTCAAAACTGAGAATCCTGTGGCCAGTTCTCTAGTCCCCACAGGGGTGACCAGTTTAATTCTCTGGTGTTGGTTAATGAGCCACAGGCTATGAGGCCTTCCTCAGAACACCTGGAGCTGCACCTCCCAGGTCCCGGGTCCATAGCCAACCCCATCCTGGTTCCACTTTGGCTTCCTGGTCAGCCCAGGGCCCACGTGATAAGGAGCTGAAGTCACCAACAGGAGCCTTTGGCTCCTTTCTTCTCCCATCTGTTCAGTCTGATTCTCTTTCCAGTTATTCACTTCTTTGAGGTAGAGTGAGGGCTCGGGTTAGGTTAGGGTTAGAGGTCACTCTCTCCTCTCCCTAATCCTAAGGATTGAAGTTTTCTGTCTCTTCTTCTATCTGCCTTGTTACTCAGTCTTTCTTTCACTTTGTTTGTCTGCCATTCCATTTCTCCTCTCTCTCTCTCTCTCTCTCTTTCTCACACACACACACACACACACACACACACACACACCCCGCCAGTATTCATTGCCCTGTGCAGAACTTGGTCCCCTCTATTCATGCCCAATAGCCACTGGCCCTCTTCCTAGGAGGCAGAAGCTGAGTCTCTAGCCTGGGCCAGGAGTCTTTAGGATGGAGGTGGGTGCCCCTTAGCCAGGAGAGCATAATGCCCAACAACTTCACTGATGTGAAGACCTGTCTGCTGAATCTCTTTGAGGCCCCCTGGTCCCAGGCAACTCTCCTCTAAACACCAAGTGTTCTCTGAGCTCATATCTGCCCAGCATCAGGGCTGGGTGCTGGGCCAGCTGAGCCCCCTGAGCCATACCAGCTCCTCTCTGCAGGGCACCATCATCTTGTCCAACCTGGCCTCTGTGCTCTATGACCCTGAGTGTTGGGAGACCCCCAACAATTCAACCCTGGCCACTTCCTGGACAAGGATGGAAACTTCCTGGTCAGTGAGGCCTTCCTGCCATTCTCTGCAGGTACTGGACACAGCACTGGGTCATGAGTGGTGGGTGTGACGGGACAGGCACAGGGACAGCTGCCATCCTCTGACCTTTCCTTCTGTTTCCAGGGCATTGGTGTGCCTAGGGGACCAGTTGGCTCGGATGGAGCTCTTCCTGATGTTTGCCACCCTCCTCAGGACCTTTTGGTTCCAACTGCCAGAGGGGAGCCCAGGGCTCAGGCGGGAGTATATCTTTGGGGGCACTCGGCAGCCCCGGCCCCAGGAGATCTGTACCGTGCCCCGTCTGAACTGCCCCGACCCAGGTCCTGGAGAGGAGGGCGTGTAAGCCAACGGCAGGGGGCGGGGGCGGTCTGGAGACTTGTCCCCCACAAAGACCTTCCTTAGTCTCTTTCGGCTCCTGAAAAGTTGAAGAAGGACAGAGGTTCACCAACTCAGCTGCCTGTGGTTCCCCCTAACACAGGCTCTGATGAGTGACATTGGAGAGTAGACGTATTAAGGACTCTACAAAGGTGGTTCAGTTTTGGTAGCTCAGTTCTTAGGATTTTACAAGGTTGGTTAAGAGGTTTGGCCTTGAATCACTTCACAAGATTAATCTGGGGAGTCAAGCCTCACAAGGTGGCAGCTAAAGAGGTTCAGAGGGAGAGGCATTTGAGAAAAACTATAAATTCAGTAGTGCCTCCAAGTATTATCCATGCTGGCCCCTGAGAGTCCAAAAACTGGGAAGCTTATTTTCTGTCCTCTCCTTCCCTCTAGTGACTGGATGCGAGAAGTGCAGGTCCCTGCCAACACAGGACAGGGAAAGATCTTCCCGACTCTCTGTATCAGGTAAAGCCAGCAAATTAGGATGCCCCAAGGTTTGAAACACCGTGTCTCCAGACGAGTCTTGCTTATTAAAAAAGAATAACTTGTATTAAGGAAATTCAAATTAAAATCAAAATGAGATACCACTACACACCTATTTGAATGGCTGATAACAAAGCCCTGAGCCCAAGTACTGGAATTCTCACACAGTGCTGATGGGAATGTAAAATGGTACAACCACACTGGAAAACAGTTTGGGAATTCCTGGTACAATTAACATTACACCATACAACCCAGCTGTCTCACTCCTGGTATTTAACTAAAAAAGATGAAACTATATGTTCACAACAAACCATACTATCTGAATTCCATTTCTGTGATATTCGAAAAGACAAAACTATAGGACATAAAACATAACTGGTGGCAAGGTCTAGGAGTAGGGTTATGGGTTGACTATAAAGGGACACAAGGGAACTTTCTGGGATGATGGAAATGTTCTGTATCTTGATTGTGGTGATGGTTACACAACTGTATGTGTTTGTCAAAAATCATTGAACTGTTACTTAAAAAGGTGAATGTTATTGTGTATAAATCATATCTCAGTAAATCTGACTTCTAAGAAAGAAATGTCTTACCTTTCTCCTTTGAGTTATTTAGAAGATGTACCTATGAATTGTAAACGAATAGAACAAAGCACAGATGTAGAAAACAAACTTATGGTTACCAGGGGATAAGGGCAGGGGAAGGGATAAATTGGGAGATTGGGACTGACATATACACACTACTATATATAAACTAGATAACTAATAAGGACCTACTGTATAGCACAGGGAACTCTACTCAGTACTTTGTAATGGCCTGTATGGGAAAAGAATCCAAAAAAAAAAAGATATATGTGTATGTATAACTGATTCGCTTTGCTATACACCTGAAACTAACACAACATTGTAAATCAACTATACTCCAATAAAAATTAAAACAAACAAACAAACAAAGGGTGTCACTCATCATCCCCTTATACAAAGGGTTAAGTCGCAACCCACTTACCAGTGGTAGTGTAGTCACCCATGACAATGCACTCTGAGGGGAATTCAGGATGGAAAAAACAGGATGAAGTGTTCTGTATTTTGGATATAAAGGCCCCTAGATGGTTAAGATACTTACCTCAGGAAGAATTTCAATGACCCCCAGATTCTTGCATTTTCCTATGCATAGATAGATAAGCACTAAAATCATTAACTTTGTGATTAGCAGTAACCTTTTTAATGCTTAACTACATGTACTTTCCACCAAAAAATTCATATACATACTGGCCCCTCCCCTCCCTCTTTGGAGCAGTTCCTCAGGGCTCTCTGAGAGGCTGTCTCCCGAGCTACAGTCCTCAGTACAGTCCCTGAATAAAACTGAAACTCACTGCTCTCGCTCTTAAGTTGTGTGTTTTTTCAGTGGACAGAATGAACCAACATTTCTAATTAGTAGGACATCAGTCATCACTGTGATGAAATAAAATTCATATTTTATGGCAAGACAAGAACAAATTTAAACAAAAGTTTTCTTTGCCGGTTTGGGCCTCCTCCCTCCCCTTTAGTGTGTGTCGTGCATCTGCGTTAACCAGACCTCCTTAGGAGATAACCTTCCTTCTTAATCTCGTAAGGGGCCATGATGACATATGACCCACTATTCGCTTTATACGTGCAGATCTGGATTGTGTAAATTGTCAATAATGCGTCATTTGATGTATATTTGTCTCAAAAACATACATAACTGTGCTTTGACCTCTAATGGGTGGAACAGTCCTCAGAGCTTTCTGAAAGACTGTCTCCCAGGTTAGAATCCTCAGGTTGGTTCCAGTAAAATTTTCCATTTCTTTCTTAGATCGACTATTAATTTTTTCATCCACAACTGCTACACTGAGCTGGGAAAATTCCAGCCAGAAATGAGGAAACTTGTATTAATTAGCCTCTGGCCTTTTTGCAAGCAAATGTACAGTTCTTCTAGGCTTTTTTTTTCTTCTTTTTTTAAATTAAAATATCGTTGACATACAATGTTTCAGGTGTACAACAAAATGATTCAGTTATATATGTGTGTGTGTGTATATATATATATTCTTTTTTAGATTCTTTTGTGAAAAAAGGTTATCACATTATAGGTTATCACAAGATATTGAATATAGTTCCCTGTGCTATACAGTAGGTCCTTGTCATTTATCTACTTTATATATAGTTGTGCATATATGTTAATCCCAAACTCCTAATTTATCCCTTCCTCCCCCTTTCCCATTTGGTAACCATGAGTTTGTTTTCTATATCTGTGAGTCTATTTCCGTTTTGTAAATAAGTTCATTTGTATCATTTTTTTAGATTCCATATATTAGTGATATCCTATATTTGTCTCTCTCTATCTGACTTCACTTAGTATGATAATCTCTAGGTCCATCCATGTTGCTGCAAATGGCAATATTTCATTCGTTTTTATGGCTGAGTAATATTCTCTTATAGGCTTTTAGAAATCTTGAAGCTTTCTCACAGACACCTCATTTTCTGTATGGAACCATACCCAGGGCCTGGGGAGTCCAGAGTGGGGCCCTCTGGGCAAGCAGGGTCCCAGAAAGCAGCAGAAAGCCTAGGGTTCTCTTGCCTGGGTGATCCCCTCCCAGGGCTGGCAGCCTCTGGTGACGCAGGCAGGCTCTAGTGTGGAGAAAATAAAGTGGGCCCTGATGCAACTACTTCTTGCCTCACTCTCCAAATCCTCTGTCAGTTCTCTCCCTGTTAGAGCCCCTGTGGTATAATAAGAAATGCATCTGGTCTCTGTCCCTTGTTCCTGGCACAAAGCTCCTCAAACCCTTGGAATTTCCCAAGCAACAGGAGTGCCTATAGCCTGTTGGTCAGAAGCACGGGTGATACCCTGAATTTGTGACTGACATCAGAATTGGGGAATGGGAGCAGTCCTGCGGGACTTAGCCCATAACCTGTGGAATCTCCAGGTAGATCATGTCAGAATTGCTTCGTGGTGTGAAAAACATGCATTGGAGCCACTATCTCAAGCTTGCAGCACCCTCTAACACCCACCCCCACCCCCATCCAGCCTCCTGTCTTTGAGCCTGCCTGTCCCCCTGCATGTTACTCCTTTCAAAGGCCAACTTTTCCAGGAAGCTTTCTTTCACGTGGGCTTCGACCCGGGTTGAAATCTCAGTTTTGCTATCAATAAAACTCTTGTGTGCCTCTATTTCCTCATCTGTCAAATGGAATGATAATAGGAGTTCTCCCTTAGGACTGTTGTGAATGCCAGTGTTCAGCATAGATCCTGGTACATGATAAGTGCTCAGCTGATGTTGATGGAGATCTCTTTCCCCCATGCACACACACACATAAGCACTACGTCTTCATTTATGGCCCTAAAATGAAAATGATGATGAGAGGCGCCCTTCCCCTGTGGATGGGCTTCCACTTCAGTTTCTAATATCTCACGATGATAGCTGCTATATGTTTATTTTGTTGTTGTTTTTGTTTTTTTAAATGGGCTTCTATCTTACAGGATGCAGTACAAGCTTTGAATCAGAGGACAATGTTGTGATATATCTCATAAGCCCAAGAGTCCAGAGGTTGTAGTGGGGAGAAAAGAAAAGTCTCCTGTTATTACACCTAGTAAACTGCTCTGATAGCTTTTTTTTTTTTTTTGAATTTTTGAATTTTATTTAATTTACTTTTTTATACAACAGGTTTTATTAGTCATCAGTTTTATACACTTCAGTGTATACATGTCAATCCCAATCGCCCAACTCATCACACCACCACCACCACCCCCGGCCACTTTCCCCCCTTGGTGTCCATACGTTTGTTCTCTACATCTGTGTCTCTATTTCTGCCCTGCAGACCAGTTCATCTTTACCATTTTTCTAGGTTCCACATATATGTGTTAATATAAGATATTTGTTTTTCTCTTTCTGACTTACTTCACTCTGTATGACAGTCTCTAAATCCATCCATGTCTCTACAAATGACCCAACTTCGTTCAATTTTATAGCTGAGTAACATTCCATTGTATATATGTACCACGTCTTCTTTACCCATTTGCCTGTCAATGGGCATTTAGGTTGCTTCCATGACCTGGCTATTGTAAATAGTGCTGCAATGAACATTGGGGTGCATGTGTCTTTTTGAATTATGGTTTTCTCTGGGTATATGCCCAGTAGTGGGATTGCTGGGTCATATGGTAGTTCTATTTTTAGTTTTTTAAGGAACCTCCATCTGTTCTCCATATTGGCTGTATCAATTTACATTCCCACCAACAGTGCAAGAGGGTTCCCTTTTCTCCACACCCTCTCCAGCATTTGTTTGTAGATTTTCTGATGATGCCCCTTCTAACTGGTGTGAGGTGATACTTCATTGTAGTTTTGATTTGCATTTCTCTAATAATTAGTGATGTTGAGCAGCTTTTCATGTGCTTCTTGGCCATCCGTGTGTCTTCTTTGGAGAAATGTCTATTTAGGTCTTCTGCCCATTTTTAGATTGGGTTGTTTGTTTT